GCTAGGATTACAGGTGTAAGCCACTGAGCCTAGGTTTTTATTTATTTTTTTCAGATGGAATCTAGCTCTGTCGTCCAGGCTGGAGTCCAGTGGCACTATCTTGGCTCACTGCAACTTCCACCTCCTGGGCTCAAGCAATTCTCCTCCCTCAGCCTCCTGAGTAGCTGGGACTACAGGCATGCACCATAATGCCCAGCTAATTTTTTTTATTTTTAGTAGAGACAGGGTTTCACCATGTTGGCCAGGCTGGTCTCGAACTGCTAACCTCAAATGATCTGCCACCTCAGCCTCCCAAAGTGCTGAGATTATAAGCATGAGCCACCACAACCAGCCTTGTCTATATATATATATATATATATATATATTTTTTTTTTTTTTTTAATTGCACATTTGGTCACAGGGGGTGTTCAACTAGAGACCAAAAAGCTACCTGAACAGATTGCCACAGGAGTGGCTGCAATAGGTGCATTGATCTAGATGACACCTGAAAGCCTTCTGGTTCTACATGGTTATATGTGTCTCTGAAATCAGCTTCCTATGGAAGACATATGAGCTGACCATCTGCTACCAGCTGAGGTAAGGTGCAAAAGAGAAAGTGGACTTATCTCTCTAGGGCATGCATTTGGGCCAGTGTAGAAAAGAGAAAGCTCCTGCCCCTGGCTCTCCAGACATTCAGATGCCTGGCTTCTCTAGCACCATCCCCTCTCCCATGCCCCACCCCCTGCCCCAACTTACCGGGAGATGGCAAAGAGACCAGTGAGCAGGGGGAGCAGCTTGAGGGTATCCTGGGGCAGGTAGGTGGAAAGCACGGCCAGGTTGAAGAAGTAGAGGATAAAGAGCTGGACCGACTGGGCCACATATCGCCGGTGGATCTCCACCTCCCGCCGTGGCTCCCCAAAGGGCCGAAGGGCAGAAAACCATAACAGGCTCAGCCCGTACACCAGGATCCCTAGGTGGAGTTGGGAAATACAGGGTAGGGTCAGAATAGGCAGGGGAAGGGTGCAAGAAGCAGTCAGGAGGGTCAGGTTCACTCTGGGCGGTATATGGCCATGGGCTCTACACAGTGGGGTGGAGGTGGTTCTGGGAGGAGATGGGCATGCAGAGTGGCAGGGGGTGGGAGACGCTGAGGGGCCCAGGCCAAGTGAAGGGAAACCCTCCTGCTCCCCACGCCAGGCTTCCCGATGCCCCCTTTTGTCACGCAGGCTCACCCAGCACAATGGGGAAGGTGGCAAAGACCCCGCAGCGCAGTGTGTAGATCAGGCGGGAACTCATGGTGGGCAGCCGTGGGACATCAAAGGGCAGGAAGGCGTATGCCCCGTATAGTAGGCAGGGAAAGAGGAGGAGTGCAGCTCCCACAGAGGCCACGGCCCTTAGCCATTCCCGATCTCCACAGATTCCGCAGCCCCCACAGGAACGGCCAGGCGGCCTCACCACTGCCTCAGCCCACTTGCACTCAGTGGGGTCGGGATAGGTGGCCCGGGGGGGCACAAAGGTTCGGCTCTCGCCCTCCGTTGCCTCACAACGCACGATAAGGTCTTCTTGGGGTCGCCGCTCAATGCACTGTAGGTCAATAGGCACGAAGGCACGGGCCGCTTTCTCAGGCAGCAGGTTGGCATCATCTTCGGTCAGCTCGTCTAGCTTAGTAAGTGGTTCTGACTCAGGGGGCTCCGGTTCAATGTCCCGCCAGCCAGGGGGATCCGGGAACGGAGCACTGGGCTGAGGGCCAGTTCCCCAGGGCAAGGTGGCAGCCTCGCTTACTGTGCTGTCTAGACCATCCTCAGCCCCCACTACGGCTGTGGGAGACACAGCTGAAGATCCAACTCTGAGAGACTCAGCTCCCGGGGACTCGACCCCACCTTCCCCTTCTGGCTGCTGGCCATTGGGGACCAAGGCCTGGGGCGAGCTCTTCTCTGGGGCCTCAGACCTCTTCACTTCCAGCAGGGCCAGGGGCTCCTGTTCTGTCATCCTGGGGCCTCTGTTCTGGGATCTACTACAATGTCATGTCATCCTGCAGGGAGCAGAGGAAAGCTCTGTCAGAAACGCCGGTCTTCTAGTTCTTAGGATGGGTTGACAGAACTCATGCTCTCCAGGGCAACTGGCTTCATGGGCTTTGGCCCCTTCTGGAGCCTTAGGAAGAACGTGCTACAGAGGAAGACGCTGAAACAGAGGGAGGAGGGAAGGAAATGAGCAGCTGAAATGAAATGGAGGCACCCTTTCGACATCAAATGCCATCCAACAGGAGAGGGTGAGTCAAGGGACACAGGCCCTGGCACTGTGACCTCAGTCAGCCCCCACCCACGCCTTCTATGTCCCTCCACCAAAACCCCTGGAGTCATAGCCATCCTAATGCAGGAATAGGAGGTAGAGGAGTTGTCTAGAACTTTGCCAAGTTTCTTTCTCACCGAGGATCTTCCTGTAGACAAAGAAGCTTCCTCTCCACTGTCCCATCTCCCCTTCTCCCTACAGATCCCTCCTTGGAACCTTCCTGGGTTCCAAGTGAGATCAGTGATTGGCCAACTGATCTGTCCCAAAGAGCTGACGGTTGCAGGGCACCCTGCCCCTTCATTGGCACTTGGTCAGTTCCCAAACTCCTCACTAGCACACCTCGTCCATCTCTGCAGGGCCTGGGTCTGTTATTGTGAATTTTAGGTCTGATCATGGCTGTTTACCATGCCTTCTCTCCCGTCCTTCTCCCCTCCCTGCTGCCCTCCAACTCATTCTGGATGGGACTGATTTTCCCTCCCTCAACTCAAGGGTCCTCCAAACCTTGCAGTTTGGACCCATGACATCCTCTTACTTTCCGTGTGGAGTGAAGTGGAGGGTCCCATCCGTCAGTCCGTCCGTCCAGGAGGGAACTGCCCAGCTACCTGCTGGCTCTGCAAGTATTTCTCTCTGTCTCCCTCCCTTTACCTGTGTCTCAAAACCTGTCTGACCAGAGCAGGTGGGGCCCAGATTAAAGGGGCAGGCCCCGCCCTGCTGAATCTGCCGACAAAAAAAGCATTAGAGGAGGATGTCATCCTTTCTGAAAGTTGGGATGCACCTGGGCAAAGGGGTAAGCTCACATTCTAGGCACCTGGAATGCATAAGAGCTCCCAGCTCAGGAAAGCAGAGGGGGAAAGTGAATTTGTGCACCAAAGGGTGCTCGGAGTAGGTTGGGATACCCAGAAAGGAGATGGAATTTGTACACTTATTCATTCAGTAAATATTTACTGAACACCAATTATTAGCTAGGCACTATTCTAGGCAGACACAGAAGAACAGAACAAGATGACAGTGAAGGTCTCTGCCCTTGAGAAGCTTATATTCTATTAGGGGTAACATAATGAAGAAGCCTAGCAACTAAATCAATTAGACAATTTTAACAGGAAAGACCTCTTTAGTAAGGTAACGTTTGAGCTGAAATCTGATGGGAAATCAGGAGTACAAGTGTTACAGGCAGAGGAACAGCAAGTGAAAGTCCAATGGGTGGCAAAGACTTAGGCTGTTTCAGGAACAGAAAGAAGGTGGGTGGCTGGAGCCAGGAGCATAGCAGTAGAAGGGCAATTTATGTTCTCAGTACAATGTGTACACAGGAAAAAAACAAAAAAAACAAAAGCAAAAAACCCTTGCTTTTTATTTATTTTTTTGAGACAGAGTCTCACTCTGTCACCCAGGCTGGAGTGCAGTGGCACGATCTCCGCTCACTGCAACATTCGAATCTCGGGTTGAAGCGATTCTCCTGCCTCAGCCTCCCTAGTAGCTGGGAATACAGGTGGGTGCCACCACGCCCAGCTAATTTTTTTTTTTTTAATTATTATTTTTAGTAGAGATGGGGTTTCCCCATGTTGGCCAGGATGGTCTTGATTTCTTGACCTCATGATCTGCCGGCCTTGGCCTCCTAAAGTGCTAGGATTACAGGCGTGAGCCACTGGGCCTGTCCTAAAAAAACCCCTTGCTTTTTAAACTTAGGTTTAAGCTAAAACAAGACAAAGCAGTCATGTTCCTAGCTGTGAGCCCACCTGCCCTGATTTCCAGCGTGAGGATCAGGAGATAGAAACGTGAGGGAGTAGCTTGTCATTCCTATGAGACCTTATCCCTAAAGTCATTTGAGCTTTGTGAGGGCAGAGATAGTGTCTAGCTTGCTCACTTCTGTGTCCCTAGAATCCTGCACTGTGGCTGGAAGACAGGAGTTCAATAAATGTTGCTGGCTGGTAAGGGATAGATATGTGCAGCGCGTGGTGGCGCTTGTCTGTAGTCCCAGCTACTCGGGAGGCTGAGGCTGGAGGATCACTTGAGTCCAGGAGTTCTGGGCTGTAGTGCGCTATGCCGATCGGGTGTCTGCACTAAGTTTGGCATCAATATGGTGACCTCCTGGGAGCAGGGGACCACGAGGTTGCCTAAGGAGGGGTGAATCGGCCCGGGTCGGAAACAGAGCAGGTCAAAACTCGTGTGCTGAGCAGCAGTGGATCACGCCTGTGAATAGCCACTGCACTCCAGCCTGGGCAACATAGCGAGACTCCGTCTCTAAAAAAAAAAAAAAGGAAAAGAAAAGATATGCAAGCTGGAAATCTTTTGGGAGGTGGAGCTGAAGGGCCGAGACGCTTGTACAAGAGTAATTTCTTCCAGGGCTTTATTCCTGTGTGATGTTTGGCCCTTTCCAAGGAAACTCTTACATGCACTTTTCGTTTGTTTAAATTATGGGGGGAAAGGGAGAGCTGGAGTCACTCTTACCAGTAATCTGAAAGACGCTTGGCTCAAACGGGGCTGGGGAAAAGGGGCAAAAGCATGGACCAAATGATCACTGTAGTTCAAAGCAGTCCCGCTTCTAGCTGTGAGCTCACCTGCCCTGATACAGTTAAGCTTTGGCCACCTCACTGGGTAAACTGTCCGTTCTCTTATAGCTTTACCAATAAAGTTTTTCGCAAGGGTTTGGAGAAGCCGGAAAGAGGCCATGCTGCCCAGAGTTAGTTCTGGCAACTTCCCGGGAGGGAAATCGAGTTTCGCGAGATTTGGTAGCAGCAGGCCACTGGCCCGCAACTGTGCGGCTGCCATCGCGAGATTTGGCAGGAGGAGGTGGAGCTGTCGCGGGCAGCCGCCTCACAGCGATGGCGGCCGAGCAGGGCCGGCGGCGGCGGCGGCTGCGGCTACGGCCGGAGACGGCAGTGGTGGTGCTAGTGGTGGGTGGCGGGGGCCTGTGACCGGAAGCTGCCCCCGGACCTGGGAACCATGAGCCAAGGCCCCCCGACAGGGGAGAGCAGCGAGCCCGAAGCAAAAGTCCTCCACACTAAGCGGCTTTACCGGTGAGAGGGGCCAGGGCGTGAGAGCAGCCGCCGAGGAAAGTAGGGGGACGGCGAAGGGCGGGGCCTCCCCCGCGGGCGGGGCCCGGTGCCGGGGTGAGGTGCGGGCGGGGAAGGAGGATGCAATTTTGGAGGCGGGGCGGGGTCCCGTAGTAACTCGGGATGGAACTGAAAGGAGGAATTGGGTGGGTGGGAGGTTTGGAGGGAAGCACGTGGAGGAATCCCCTCCACAGTGTGCTTGGTCGGGACGAGCCCCAAGCTTTGTGGAGTTGGGGTCGTAGGGTGGGAATTGAAGGCTGGAAGGGTTGGGTAGGTAAAGGTGGGGTCACAGGTGGAGAAAAACCCGGAAGGGAACGGTGCTTGGAATCCTGTGAGATGTACAGAGAAGAGTCCTGGACTGAAGTCCATAGAGCTAGGTTCAGGTCCTCTCTTTGCCACTCTCTCACCGTGTGACCTTGGGCCTCAGTTTCCTTATCCTTAAAAGGAGATATTTGAATTGGATATGCTCTAAAGTCCCATACACCCCTAATTTTGAGGAGTCTGAATGAGAAAGTCTTGGCCTGGAAGGGCCACGAACGACTTTATGTTCAGAGCGTTCTTGGGACTTGGGAGGCAATTCGGGGCACCTGGGGACTTCTCAGTCTTGCCTTCCTTCCAGCCTCATGACTGTAGTCTCTTGCCAGGCAACTTGCGTTCCTGGTTTCTGATTTCCATAATGCCACCCACACTCCACAAGTCACATCTTCAGCCCTTCAGCCCTCTGTTGGGAACAAGCCAGAATGAGCTCTTCCCATCAAGGGTGGAGGAGTTGCCGTGTAGGTCAGCTAGAACATGGGCTCCACAACCGAATCAAAATAATATAAAGCTTGGAGACTGAGTTTTGTGCCTTCTGCCACATAGTGGGGTTTGGGGTTTTCATGTAGCTCAGGCTTTACGGATCACGGATGTTTGCATGAGAAGAAGACCCTCACAGCCTTGGCCCCATCTTGGCAGTGAAAGAGTCAAGAGCATGTTGTCTTTTCCTCTTTGAGTAGGCATCCTGCCTTCTCTGGCATTGTAAGCCAGAGGCAGAGGGGAGTATAGGCTGCTCCAAAAATAGAAAAATGATTCAATCCAGCGGCCCCTGGGCTTCCACCGTGGGCTGCCCCAAGCAGTCCCCAGGGGGGTGAGGAGTTGGCTCAGGGTGGCACGTGTGCCTCATCATGCTGCCCAGTGTCAGTGCTGCCTGTCAGACAGAGTGTGGGCCGTGTCTGCAATATTCCTTGTCTCCAGCGTTTGGGGATGGCTCTGGTCATCCTTCCAGTTGTGTAGTTCCTTCTTAAACCACTACATTCACAGGACTAACCTAAGCTGATGTATTTACGTGTGTGGCTTACCTGTGTGCACATGGGTATTTGCCTGTAAGTGTGGTGTTGGCTTTGAGCAGGGTAGAAATTTGAGGCAGCCAGTCACTGTTTTTATAATTTATTATAGCATGGTGATCAGTGGAAGGAACTAGGAGGAAAGTCTGGTTTCTCTGCCCAAGATAAACGTGTTGTTGGACTATGGACTTGTCACCCTGAGCTTCAGAAATTTGGGGAACTCCCACACCTAGCTGTTTACGGATATGAAATTCTGAAATATTTTTAGTCAGAAGAAAGGGCAGCAGGAAAAAGGAGACTGGAAAGGACACAAGCACCAATTGATTAATTAGGCCAATTCATTAGTTATTTGTTTTTAAAAACATTTTTCTGGCTGGGCGCGGTGGCTCATGCCTGTAACCCCAGCACTTTGGGAGGCCGAGGCAGTCAGATCACGAGGTCAGGAATGGGAGACCAGCTGGCCAACATGGTGAAACGCCGTCTCTACTAAAAGTACAAAAAATACCTGGGCGTAGTGGTGGGTGCCTGTAATCCCATCTCCTCGGGAGGCTGAGACAGGAGAATTGCTTGAACCTGGGAGTCAGAGGTTGCAGTGAGCTGAGATCTTGCCACTGCACTCCACTCTGGGTGACACAGCAGGATTCCATCTCAAAAAAAAAAAAAGAAATTTTTTTTTCTTTGCTAGGCCTAGGAGTACAGTAGTGAATGAAACACGAGACTAGATTTTGTAGTTTTTGTTCGAAGAGAGATTATAGTTTAGTGGAGGAGCTTATGATCTGATGGAAAATGAGGAAAAAACTACTGAGCACTCTCATTTAAGCATTTGCAATGAGAACTTCTAGAGTGGTGGTTATTTATTTATTTTTTGAGTGGTGGTTATTTACCTTCTTTTTGATTAAGGATATAAGGAGAGCTGTGGAGCTTGTCTATAAAAATTTATACTCCCATTAGATTTTTCCATGGCACCAAAAATAAAAGCCGTGCCCTAGGGACTGAGCTGGTATAAAGTAAATCACTGGTACTGCCCCTGGCATCAAGGGCCAGGCTGGCCAAAAGGGCTTGGCATCCATCTCTAGGCTGTCCAGGTGTTTGGAGAAACATGATTGCCTGTGAGAAGGCATCGATTACCATCCCACCCACTCTACTGGGTGCTGGCGGTCACTTCATCCTGTGTAGGGCAGCTTTTAGTAGTGTGCCTCGTGAGCCGCTACCACCACAGGATGCCAACTGTTGTGGCCCACTTTCCCTGGCCTGGGAGCACCTCTTGGTTTGTTTGGAAATCTTCACTCTGTTTTTGTTGCTTTTGTGTCCACAGTTGTGCCTGATTTGAATGTTCTTACAGCTGCTGCCTGATGTCCTCTGGGTTTTACCCTTCCAGATATGAGGCCTACCTCTGGGACTTCTTGGCCATCCATTGTAGAGTTTCTGTGGCTTTTTCTTTGCTGTGATGACAGATTTAATTACCCCTTAGTGCCTGGAGTCTCCCCCTCAGCCTTGGAAAAAGAAGGATGGAGACCAAGACTTGGGGTGATTACTATATACCAGGCACTGTTATGGGTGTGTTATGTATTAGCTAATAATATTCCCGTTTTGTGGTTGGATGAAGTGAGATGTAAGGTATTTTGTCCAGGACCACATAGCTGGTAAGAAGCAGAACTAAGATTTGAAACCAGGTGTTCTGGTTTCATGCCTACACATTTTTTTTTTTTTTTTTTTTTTTTTTTAAGATGGGGTTTCACTGTGTTGGCCAGGCTGGTCTGGAACTCCTGACCTCAAGTGATCCGCCCACCTTGGCCTCCCAAAGTGCTGGCATTACAGGCGTAAGCCACCACGCCCGACCTCATGCCTACACTCTTAACTACTGTGTTTAATTCCTTCAGCAGAATCCAGGCTTACCAGAATCCTGTTTACAGCTAAGCAGCCTAGGGGTTCCCTCTACTTTCCCATACCCCACAATTCCATAGCAGAATTTTATACTAGAAATGCCTTTCCTTTGTGTCAGGGATAATAAGACCTTATAGGCCGGGCGCGGTGGCTCAAGCCTGTAATCCCAGCACTTTGGGAGGCCGAGGCGGGTGGATCACGAGGTCAAGAGATCGATACCATCCTGGTCAACATGGTGAAACCCCGTCTCTACTAAAAATACAAAAAATTATCTGGGCATGGTGGTGCGTGCCTGTAATCCCAGCTACTCAGGAGGCTGAGGCAGGAGAATTGCCTGAACCCGGGAGGCGGAGGTTGCGGTGAGCCGAGATCGCGCCATTGCACTCCAGCCTGGGTAACATGAGTGAAACTCCGTCTCAAAAAAAAAAATAAGACCTTATAGAATAATAATTTATTCATTCCACCATTACTTATTGAATGTTTACCATATACCAGAGCTATATATAAATTATTTAATCCTCACAACTGTCCTCTGAAGTAGCTGCTATTATTGTCTCCATTTTTATTGATGTGTTAACTAAGACAGCTAAGACTTTAAAAGGGTGGGTAACTTGCCCAAAGGCACAGAGTTAGACACAGCCAGGGTTCAAACCCTAGATTTTCTGCCTGGCATCACAGCCTGTGATCTTTCCATTGGGAGAGCCTTCCTCACCAAAGAGTTTCTCTACTTTGAGACTGTTGACATTTTAGGTAGGGCAATGCTTTATTGTGGTGGTCTGTCCTGTGCATTATAGGAGATTTAACAGCACCCACTAAATGCCAGTAACAACCCTCTATCCCCCTAGTTGTGATGACTGAAAATGTTTCCACCATTGCCAAATGTCTCTGGTGGGTGGAGGTGGGGAGGGGCAGGGGTACTGTATCAAGGTGGAGACTGTGTTCATCTTGTTTTGTATAGAGCTCAGCCTGCAGCCTTCTTTTTTCCTCGACCCTAATTCTTTAGCTTTTCCTCTAGATCAGTGTCCCAGCATCATCCTCCACGGACTATGCGTGTGACTCAGGTGTATTTGCCTGTATTTCCCTGCAGGGCTGTCGTGGAGGCTGTGCATCGACTTGACCTCATCCTTTGCAACAAAACTGCTTATCAAGAAGTATTCAAACCAGAAAACATTAGCCTGAGGAACAAGTAAGCTAGAGACTCTAAACTATAGATCCTTACTGTTTCCCTGCCTATTTCTACAAGAAACCTTTTCAGATATATAAACACACACTCTGTTTTACCTCCTGACCTCATGATACCTTAATGGACTTTGAAGTCTCTGGCCTTCCTAAGAGAGGAGCTAGGATCCCTCACCCCATCTGCAGGTTTTATGTCTTAGTAGATTGGTGCCATAAAGTAACACAGTCTCTACATCTAAAAAGTAGAGTAAAATAAAAAGAATCGCATTCGAGGCTGGGCACAGTGGCTCACGCCTGTAACCCCAGCACCTTGGGAAACCAAGGCAGGAGGATCACTTGAGCCCAGGAGTTTGAGACCAGACCTGGCAATGTAACAAGACCCTGTCTCCACAAAAAAATTAAAAAGATAGCTGATTGTGGTGCTGCACACTTGTAATCCCAGCTGCTCAGTAGGCTGAGGTGGGAGGATCATTTGAGCCCAGAGGTTTAAGTTTACAGTGAACTGTGATCTCGCCACTGCCACAGAATGAGTGAGACCCTGTCTCAAAACAAAGACCCCAGAAAAATTGACTCAAGGGAGGCTGCCATACTGCATAATGAAGGGGGGAAAAGGGGGATAAAAAGGCAGAGGAAAAAGGAGCCAAGTATGCAGAGGGAAAAAGTGAGGATTATTAAAATGTTAGTGCTTCATGCTTCCATCTTTTGGGGCTCCCACTGCCTTCCTAGGCTGCTATTGTGCTGGGTCACACTGACCCTGCGTGTCTCTTGGGAAGGACAGAGATTTGTTGGTGGGGGTGTTGGCACATGACTCCTTTCCCTCAGTTCTTGTGTCCCCACTCCAAGGAATGGGCTGTCTCTCATGCTCCCCTGCACCCTCCCAGGCTGCGTGAGCTCTGTGTCAAGCTTATGTTCCTGCACCCAGTGGACTATGGGAGAAAGGCTGAGGAGCTGCTATGGAGAAAGGTATACTATGAAGTTATCCAGCTTATCAAGACTAACAAAAAGGTAAGGGGAGGTCCTTTTCTAAAGAGAGAAAGTCAAGCACGGAAGAGACAGCTAGGAAAGTAGGCCCAGAACATGGTTGGAGGTAAGGGAGCCAAGAAAAGATGGCAGAAAGGAGGGAGAGAGTCAGATGTAATTAGAATTGGAGAAGGAGGGGAGTCTCCTCCCAGATGGGAAGACCACAGAGTTAGAGCTAAGAATATGGGAGTAACTTGTGAGTGAGAGGAGATGTAGACGAAGTTCCGGAGCCAAGTGAGATGAACAGGTTAGGGGAGGGTGAGTGGAACTCTGAGTTTATTGCTTAACCAGCCCCTTCCCTTTCCATTCTATAGCACATCCACAGCCGGAGCACTTTGGAATGTGCCTACAGGACGCACCTGGTTGCCGGTATTGGCTTCTACCAGCATCTCCTTCTCTATATCCAGTCCCACTACCAGCTGGAACTGCAGTGCTGCATCGACTGGACCCACGTCACTGACCCCCTCATAGGTCAGTGGAACCTGAAAGGTGGACTTGAGCAGGTTCTCATGCTTCTACCTCTGGCCTTATCCCCCAGGGTTCATGTAGTTTGTGACCCAGCCAGGCAGAGAGAGTTCTAGCAGACCTACATGCAAATAGTTTATGAAGTTTGGATTTATCCAAACAATCATATGAGTTAGGGTAAAAATCTTAAGGAAAGAGAGAGGCCTGGGATTGTGGATAGGCAGAGGGAGGGACAGAAAGACCTAGAGTAGATCTGCCACTGGAAGGTGGTATTAATAACATTTCTTTTCTTCTCCCAGTTGAATTTGTTCAGCACACTTTCTTTGACTTTAAAGATTATTTCCCAATGTTTAATGAAAGTATTGAAATCTTTAGATATGTTGGGAAAATTATGGACAGTCTTTCAAGATAGTACAAATTTCTTTTCCACCAGCTGAGGTACTGGCAGCTATAATTTTATCTCCTTTTCTAGTTGTTAAGTTTTCTTTTCAGTTCAGCCACCCTTTAGAGCTCCTCCCCGAGCTCTTCCTGCTCTCTCTCTCCCCTCCATCACCAGGACAGACATTCTGGGTCAGAGATGGAGGTTGTGTCCTTGCCACCACACGGAAGAATTCTGTGATCAGAATTAGAGCACCTGTGTTTTATGCGTTTAAAAACATCTAGGCCAGGTGCAGTGGCTCATGCCTGTAATCCCAGTACTTTGGGAAGCCAAGGCGGGTAGATCACCTGAGGTGAGGAATTCGAGACCAGCCTAGTCAACATGGTGAAACCTTATCTCTCTTAAAAATATAAAACTTAGCTGGGCATGGTGGCACGCACCTGTAATCCCAGCTACTTAGTAGGCTGAGGCAGGAGAATCACCTGAACCCGGCAGGCAGAGGTTGCAGTGAGCCAAGATCATGCCATTGCACTTCAGCGTGGGTGACAGAGTGAGACTCTGTCTCAAAAAACAAAACAAAACAAAAAAACATTTAGGCCAGGAGTGGTGGCTAATGCCTGTAATTCTAGCACTTTGGGAGGCCAAGGCAGGAGGATTACTTAAAGCCAGGAATTCACAACCAGCCTGGGCAACATAGTGAGACCCGATATCATCTCTACAAAAAAATAAAAAAGTTTTACTGGGTATGGTGGTGTGTGCATGTTGTCCTAGCTACTTGGAAGGCTGAGGCAGGAGGATCACTTAAGCCCAGGAGTTTAAGGCTGCAGTAAACCATTATTTCATTACTGGTACTGTAGCTGGGGCAATATAGCAAGACCTCTTTCTCTCAAAAAAAACAAAAACAAAGACAACAAAAAAACTGCATTATCTAAAAACAAAGACAACATTATTTCCGCACCATCTCCATAGGTTACTAGATACCTAGAGGGGTTCACAGCTTTAAAAAAAAGATTACTTCAGAGGGTTAGTTTTCCAAACCACTTTAGTTTTTCTCTTCAATGATTTCTCCATTCAGCCAACTGAGAGGTAGCTATAGAAAACATTAGAAATGGCTTTTCCAAATGGAAGCCATACATCCGAGAGGCAGTAAGGTGGAATGGATAAGAGGACAGTCTCTAGAGCCTTTTGTATCCTAGCTCTGCTGCTTAGCAGCTATTTGACTTTGATTTCCTCAATTGTAAAATGGGAGTAATAAGAGTAACCTTGGCCAGGTGCGATGGCTCACGCCTATAATCCCAGCACTTTGGGAGATTGGGCGTTCAAGACCAGCCTGACCAGCATGGTGAAACCATGTCTGTACTAAAAATATAAAAATAAGCTGGGCGTGGTGGTGCGCCTGTAATCTTGGCCACTTGGGAGACTGAGGCAGGAGAATCGCATGAACCCAGGAGGCAGAGGTTACAGTGAGCCAAAACTGCACCATTGCACCCGAGCCTGGGTGATAGAGCAGGACTCCATCTCAAAAAAATAAGAGTAACCTCATAGGGTTGCTATGATGATTAAGTTAATACTGTAGAATGCTGCCGGGCGCGGTCGTGCGTGCCTGTAGTCCCAGCTACTTGGGAGGCTGAGGTGGGAGAATTGCTTGAGCCCAGGAGTTCTGGGCTATAGTGTATTGTGACGATCGGGTGTCTGCACTAAGTTCGGCATCAATATGGTGACCTCCTGGGAGCAGGGGACCGGCCCAGGTCGGAAATGGAGCAGGTCAAAACTCCTGTGCTAATCAGTAGTGGGATCACACCTGTGAATAGCCACTGCACTCCAGCCTGGACAACATAGTGAGACCCCATCTCTTAAAAAAAAAATACTGTAGAATGTTTAAATGAGTTTCTGGCATATGGGAAAACTGCCTCCCAAAGATCTTAAGCTCTTTGAAGCTACCAGGCAGTTTATTGGGAGGGAAAGGTGAGTGTTCAGACATATTTGGCTTTAGCCGTCAGCAGCCTCAGGCAAGGCAAGCTCACTTTTCTCCTTCATGGGCAGACTCTCCAATTCTGCCTTCTCTGTGGACCTCCTCCACTAAGAAGAGCATCTGCATTGGCCTCATTCACATTTCTTTATTTTTTTTTCCTTTTTAAAATGTTGTTGTTTTTGCTTTTTTTTTTTTTTAATTGGCCTCATTCACATTTCATTCTTGGGCAGATTGGTTTCCCATATTTACCCAAAACTTTTTACCTTTATGTACATAACTTCTACCCAAGACACTCATGACCCTCTTCATACTTGAGGCTCATCTCTTCCTCCTTTCTGGAAGCCTTCCTGTGATGAGCTTCCCTCAGGGTGCCATCCTAGGTTAAGGGCCCTAGCCCTCCTCTTCCGGTTCCTTTCTGTCCTATAAATGAATCTGCCTGTAAGTCTCTGTGTCCCTGTGTATGCCCGCCTGTGCTCCTCTGTGTCTCTCCATGTGTCCTGGATGAGTGTCTCTCTGTCCTGGAAGACAGTGTTCCAAGGCTGACCCTAGATTCTTAGTCTCCCTTCTACACATTGGAGAGAGATTTCCCCATAGATGCAGGGAAGCAGAAGAATGGCCCATAAATCTCTTTCTCTTTGTCTCATAGGATGCAAGAAGCCAGTGTCTGCCTCAGGGAAGGAGATGGATTGGGCACAGATGGCATGCCACCGATGTCTAGTGTACCTGGGGGATTTGTGTAAGAATTTGCACCTTTCATTTTCTCTGTTTTGGGTTACAGGACAGTCCCAAGCTGCTTCAGTTGTTGGTAACACCCATTACATGGTTGGAGAGCAGGAGGGATAGTTTCGCCTCTGATAACTTTTTCCCTCCCGTCTGTTTCAGTGATTCCTTCTTTTCACTGCCCTTCCATGAGTCAGAGAGGATCAGTGAATACAGGAAAAAGGGAATTGTCTGAGCTTTGAGCAAATCCAGTTAATAATTCTGTTTCAGTAGTGGGTTGAGAAGATTTTAATTGGATATTTTTCTTCTTTTGTGTTTCTTTTATCTTTATTGACTCCTACGTGAATAGAAACTTCAGCACAGGGATTGTAATTAGGCATCAAGGAGGACTTATCTCCCTAACAGATGTTTCTAAGGATGGAAAAGTACTCTCTTGCTTTATGGACCCTGGGGCCTCTCATTCTTGATAGACAGTGGTTCCTCATTAGGCTGCTGATGTGTGGCTGTTGGGTGCATTATCTCTTACTGACCTGAGTCTCCTATCCCTGCCCCCCACCCACTCCTGGACCCCTCATTGAGCAATGTGTACAGAGAGTCAGCAGTTTCATAGTTGATGGACCAGAGTATCATTAGTAATGTCTTCTCTGTAGAATTGAGCAATTGCATTTCAGAACTAAATATCAGAGGTCTTTGCAAGCATTTATGTGTGCTGCAGCTCCCCTTCATTGTGAAGAGATTGTTAAGCAGAGCCTGTTCAGGCTGGACATGGTGGCACGCATCTGTAGTCCTAGCTACTTGGGAGGCTGAGGTGGGAGATCATTTGAAACCAGAAGTTTGAGACCAGCCTGGGTGACAGCAAGACCCTGTCTCTTAAAAAAAAAAAAAAAGAGCTTTAGGCCGGGCGCGGTGGCTCAAGCCTGTAATCCCAGCACTTTGGGAGGCCGAGGCGGGTGGATCATGAGGTCAAGAGATCGAGACCATCCTGGTCAACATGGTGAAACCCCGTCTCTACTAAAAATACAAAAAATTATCTGGGCATGGTGGTGCGTGCCTGTAATCCCAGCTACTCAGGAGGCTGAGGCAGGAGAATTGCCTGAACCCAGGAGGCGGAGGTTGCGGTGAGCCGAGATCGCGCCATTGCACTCCAGCCTGGGTAACTTGAGTGAAACTCCGTCTCAAAAAAAAAAAAAAAAAAAAAGAGCTTTTTTACTTCAGAAACGCTAAATATTCTTTACATTTTGAACCTACCGGCAAGGAAGAGAGAGTTGAACAATTTGCCCATAGTCGTGCAGATTTAGGACTATGCCAGAGACCCTAGCAGCTTGCCTCCTAGCTCAGGTACCTTCCTTCCGAGCTCTTGTGACAGCTCCTCAGAGTGGACTCCCAGAAGTGGGGGAGAGTTTTCTGAAACTTAGAATCATCGAGTTTCCCTTCCTTTTCTCTCTTGTGCAGCACGATATCAGAATGAATTAGCTGGTGTAGATACCGAGCTGCTCGCTGAGAGATTTTACTACCAAGCCCTGTCAGTAGCTCCTCAGATTGGTAAGTTGTCCCCAACTTGGGCCTCCCAATCCAGTAGATTTTTCCTAGGGAAGATGATGATATTATTGAGATGGCAGGCAGTTCATTCTCATTTTCCCCAGCTCCTCTTCATTCTCAGCTCTCTCATAGTTTACCTTGTTTATACCTTTTCCCTCTGGTAACACACTCAGAAAATGATGGAAGGGGAAGATGAATGGGATAGTCTTGAACTAAGAAGAAGTGAGGCAGAATAGAAGGAAAAGAGAAGATGGCTTTCCTGTCCCTGAGGTCTCTTGTAGAAAGAGGAGGACAATGAGATAAAGGATAAGATTCTGTCATATAGAGAGATGCGGATTTTCGTGTAGGAATGAGCACTCAGAGCTGGGATAGAGGAGAGGGCTCCATGGCATTCCATCAACCTCAGAAGAGCCATAGTGGAAGCCAGAGGAATGGTACTCCATCAATTCAGGTAACACCTGGCTTACCAGGCAGGAACAAGCTGGTAGACATAAGAACAGGTCAGTAATCCCCTAGAGGAGCAAGATTAAGCTGCTAATCAACTGAGATGCCAGTGTTGCCTGCAGACCCAGCTGTTTTCCCCACAAGTTCTCTGATGCTTAACATTGGTTGGGCCTGGCAGCTTTGAAATGAGTATTGTGGCCTTAGACTGCATGAATTTTCTTTCTCCTTAGGAATGCCCTTCAATCAGCTGGGCACCCTGGCAGGCAGCAAGTACTATAATGTGGAAGCCATGTATTGCTACCTGCGCTGGTGAGTATTTGCCAGCACTTTTTCTAGCCCTGCTTTTGTGTGCATATTATTCCTGCTTTGTTTTCTGTCTTCCTTTCCTCTCTGCTCTAGCTTGTGGCTGAGATAGGGGAATGCTAAGATTGAAGGGTCCCTCCATTCAGAGGGACTCTGACACAGCCCTGCTGCTTTTCACCTAACTGCTGGATCTGTATGCACTTGGGCAACTAAAATAGCTATTTATTGTCTTATGCAAAATACAAGATTGCTGTTTTCCAGAAGAAGGAAATAAACTTGATACAGTTGGTAAAATGTTACCAAAGTGGCTTCTGACAAGAGCATCAGAATTCTAGTGTGTTAATGTGGTAATATACATGGAGGGACCAGCAGGGTGAGCCACTGCTTTCCTGGGTCTGACTCTCATCTGTTAGGATATAAAATAACATTTTCGGCAGGGCGTGGTGGCTCACGCCTGAAATCCTAACACTTTGGATTACACAAGACAGGCAGATCACCTGAGGTCAGGAGTTTGAGACCAGTCTGGCTAACATGGCAAAACCCCGTCTCCATTAAAAATACAAATATTGTCGGGTGCAGTGGCTCATGCCTGTAATCCCAGGACTTTGGGAGGCCAAGGTGGGTGGATTGCAAGGTCAGGAGTTCAAGACCAGCCTGGCCAATATGGTGAAACCCCGTCTCTACTAAAAATACAAAAAAATTAGCCAGGCATGGTGGCGCATGCCTGTAATCCCAGCTTTTCGGGAGGCTGAGGCAGGAGAACTGCTTGAACCTGGGAGGTGGAGGTTGCAGTGAGGTGAGATCGTGCCACTGCACTCCAGCCTGGGTGACAGAGCAAGACTCCGTCTCAAAAAATGAAAATACAAAATTTAGCTCAGTGTGGTGGTGAGCGTCTGTAATCCCAGCTACTTGGGAGGCTGAGGTAGGAGAATCGCTTGTACCCAGGAAGTGAAGGTTGCAGTGAGCCAAAGTCATGCTATTGCACTCCACCCTGGGTGACAGAGTAAGACTCTGTCTCAAAAAAACAAAACAAAACAACATTTTCAGGGCACCCAAAATTGATTAAGCATAGGGTATTGGGTGGCCGTAACCAAGAGTACATGAGACTGATAGGTAAACCAGAATACTTTACCTGAAATGCTTTTAAGTTACAGTGAGAAACTGCCAGGAAAACAGAAAAACTCACTGTTGTCACCTAATCAGAGCTAAAGTTGAGGAGCCAAACTCATTCTCAGAAGAAGCTATATAATGAACTTGGGCTTCAAACAAAAGGAGTAGGGTGGTCTTCATAGCTGAAGTGGTCAAGTACTAAAGTATATCCAAATAGTAAGGTAATCAGATACTGAAGTATAAAATAGTAAAATACTAGTTGTACATCATAATTCCGTGTGCCATGATTTTTGGTTCACCTGGTCAAGGAAACCTGGTCCCTGTATTAAGTATTAGCTTGTTGGGGGTCCCCCTCCTGTCTAGATCAGTACAGGCTGGCCTTCTATACATACGCCACTGCATTCATTCATTCTTTTTTATTTTTATTTATTTATTTTTTGCTATAAAGACGTATCCAAACATTTGTTCATTCTTAAGTATTACTAGGTTTATAACCTGTTGTGTCTTTCCCATTTCTTTCTTTCTTTCTTTTTTCCTTTTTTTGAGATGGAGTTTTGCTCTTGTTGCCCAGACTGGAGTGCAATGGTGCGATCTCTGCTCACTGCAACCTCTGCTTCCTGGGTTCAAGAGATTCTCCTGCCTCAGCCTCCCAATGAACTGGGATTACAGGCACAGGTTTTCTCCATGTTGGTCCAGCAGGTTTCGAACTCCCGACCTCAGGCGATCCACATGCCTCAGCCTCCCAAAGTGCTGGGATTACAGGCCTGAGCTGCCGTGCCTGGCTGTATGTTTCCCATTTCTTAAATGCCTTCCAGAGAAAGCACCCCCTTACTTGTCCTGGGTCCCTCATCACGCTTAGCATGATTTAGGGTGGGTCATTTCCAAAAGAAAGCCAGGCATATCCAAGTTTGGGAGGTGCCCACTAAGGGCATACCTGACTCTGCTAAAACAATTCTGTCTTGGTTTATGGGTTAGACAATTGGGCAGGGCTCAGTTGGGCAATCCGCCTTCTCCTAGTGGCATTGTTTAGGGCTAGTCATTGGTATTCAGCTGATCTGAAGGTCTGACAGGTCTGGAGGGTTAGCACATTTGGCCCCTCCCTCTCCATGTGGTCTTAGGACCATGTATGGTATTTTCTACAGGATAGAACTTATGTAGTGGCTCAAGGCTCTAACAGTGAACAATGATTTAAGAGACTTGGAGGTTGTATCTGCCAGTTTCCAGCTTGGGCTGGAAACCGAGTTAGTTCTATAATACTCTGTTGGTCATAGTCCTTCCTCCACCAGCCCCCTGCAAGATTTAAGGGAAGGAGAAGTAGACCACAGTTCTCAATGGAAGGAGTGTCAAGTAATTTGTGGCTATCTTTAATTCACCACAGACATCGGTTTCTTCTATTTTATACCTTATTTATTTTTTTTTTTTTGAGACAGAGTTTCGCTCTTATCGCCCAGGCTGGAGTGCAGTGGCACAGTCTCGGCTCACTGCAACCTCTGCCTGCTGGGTTTAAGCAATTCTCCTACCTCAGCCTCCTGAGTAGCTGGAACAACAGGCACGTGCGACTATGGTGGGCTAATTTTTTTGTATTTTTAGTAGAGACGGGTTTTCACCATTTTGGCCAGTCTGGTTATAGCTCACTTTTTATAATTAAAAACATGTTTTTAAGAAACAAGACACAGGCCACGTTCAGTGGTTCACGCCTATAATCCCAGCACTTTGGGAGGCTGAGGCAGGGAATCACCTGAGGTTGGGAGTTTGAGACCAGCCTGACCAACATGGAGAAACCCCATCTCTGGCTGGGCTCAGGGGCTCACGCCTGTAATCCTAGCACTTTGGGAGGCCGAGGTGGGTGGATCACCTGAGGTCAGGAGTTCAAGATCAGCCTGGCCATCATGGTGAAATCCCATCTTTTAAATTAAAAAAAAAAAAAAAAAAGAAAAAGAAACCCCATCTCTATTAAAAACACAAAATTAGCCAGACATGGTGGCGCATGCTGGTAATCCCAGCTACTCAGGAGGCTGAGGCAGGAGAATTGCTTGAACCCAGTAGGCGGAGGTTGCAGTGAGCTGAGATCATGCCACTGCACTCCAGCCTGGCAACAGAATGAGACTTTGTCCCAAAAAAAAAAAAAAAGATTACCTGGGCAAGGTGGTATGCACTTGTAGTCCCAGCTACTGGGGAGGCTAAGGCAGGAGGATCAACTGAGCCCAGGAGTTTAAGGCTGCAGTGAGCCGAGATTGAGCCACTGTACTACAGCATGGGCAACAGAGCAAGACCTTGTCTCAAAAGAAAAAAAAAAAAGAGGCTGGGCAAGGTGGCTCACACCTGTAATCCAAGCACTTTCGGAGGCTGAGGTGGGTGGATGACCTGAGGTCAGGAGTTTGAGACCAGCCTGGCCAACATGGTGAAACCCTGTCTGTACTAAAAATATAAAAATTAGCCAGGCGTGGTGTCAGAAACCTATAATTCTAGCTACTTAGGAAACTCAGGCACAAGAATTGCTTAAACCCAGGAGGCAGAGTTTGCAGTGAACTGAGATCATGCCACTGCACTCCATCCTGGGTGATGGAGTGAAACTCAGTTTAAAGAAAAGAAGACTGTTGGGTTGGAGACTTTTATCTGCCATGTATTAGCTGTGTGACCTTGGTCAATGTACTTGTTCTCTCACAGGCTCTGTGTCCTCATCTGTGAATGTGGACAGTATTAGGGTACATTGCCTGACACAGTGGGTGCTCAGTACATGTTTGTGTTTTCATGTGGGGAGGATGAGGATTAATTGAAATATTGCATGTAAATATCCTTGTACATAGTAAATGCTTGTTAAATGCTATCCATTATAAAGTATTCTATGCTTATAAAAAGATAAAGGATAATATATTTCAGGGATGGCAACTAAGTTAAGTTTGTAACAGAGTAGGATTGATTGTCTCCTTTCTAGATACAAGGGAGAGTAAGATATCCTTTTTCCTCTGACTAATCTAGAAGTTATGTATATATGTTTTATCAGGAAAGATAAATAACTCATGAGCCTTCTACCCTGAGTATGTACATGGAAGCTGAGGCTGGGAGCAGCTTATCTTTTCTAGTAACATTGTTTCCTAAAGCCCCAGCAGAGTAACATGTCTTCCCCCTGCCAAGACTCAATAGCTCACCTTGATCTCCTACAGCATCCAGTCAGAAGTGTCCTTTGAGGGGGCCTATGGGAACCTCAAGCGCCTGTATGACAAGGCAGCCAAAATGTACCACCAACTCAAGAAGTGTGAGACTCGGAAACTGTCTCCCGGCAAAAAGCGGTGAGTGGGGCCTGTGAGGAGGTGGGGGGTTTTTCTGCAGTTGGTGCAGAAGGACGATAGGGACTGTGGGGCCATTCAGCATTTACTTTGGGCCCCTCTCATTCCAGATGTAAAGACATTAAAAGGCTGCTGGTGAACTTTATGTATCTGCAAAGCCTCCTACAGCCCAAAAGCAGGTGAGTGGAAGAGACATGAACTTGGACTGCCCTGTGAGCCCCAGCCTTGATGACTGCTTTACAGAAGGTGCTTTGACAACAGTGGACTGTTGAGTTCTGCCCTCAGTTGGAACTTCCCTAGCCAGTTTGTCCTTTCTTGGCATTCCTCACTGTTTCTCCCAAGGATCCTGTGCCCATCCTCCTGCCAGCAGCTCTCTGGCACAGAATGGGTGCTGAAGAAATGTTGAAGAGGAAATGACTGAATGAAGCCTCCTCACATCCCTCCCCTGTTTTAGTTGCTGCCCTTCCCTGCTGTGCCCTCAGGTCTCTCCTGCAGTGTCCCATAGTCCTTTCTCTGAATCTTGTATTCCCTGCTCTTCTCCTTCCCCAGCCCCCACCACTAACCTCCCCTGTTACTCTTGCCCTTCTGTAGTTCCGTGGACTCAGAGCTGACCTCACTTTGCCAGTCAGTCCTGGAGGATTTCAACCTCTGCCTTTTCTACCTGCCCTCCTCACCCAACCTCAGCCTGGCCAGTGAGGATGAGGAGGAGTATGAGAGTGGATATGCTTTCCTCCCGGACCTTCTCATCTTTCAAATGGTCATCATCTGCCTTATGTGTGTGCACAGCTTAGAGAGAGCAGGTAACCTTCCCTGTGTTCCTCTTTTCTCCTCCACTGGCATTGGGGATCCTCACTCCCCTTTTCTGCAGCTCATTATTCATAAACTTCCTTCCACAAGCAGTCTCTTCACTCCTGTGTCGCTGCTTGGCTGTGGGCGAGTAAGGGCCAAGGGATCCTACCCTAAAGGAGCTCCTGGTAATTGAGTATAAGCAACAGCGCTTTTCCTTCCCCTTCTCCTTACCGCCTCCCATAAATACGCACACCCTTGGTCAGGGCCTGTGCAGAGACGAGGGTCAGGATACTTAGTGATGATCCAGACAGAATTCACACATTGCTATTGGAGGCATTTAGGCAATTCTGGAAGCCTTTCTGGCAGACGTGTATGTAGAGCAAGATTGGGAGGTAAGGATGGATAGGGCTGGATGTGAAGGCTCTTGAGGCATGGGGAGGAACCCTCAAAGCAAGGGAGGATGAGATGGGACAAAAGGATATGCTTATCTGAAGGAACACCAGGTGAGATGGTACATTCTAGATTATGGAAGGAATAATAGGACAGGTATAGTGCCTCACACCTGTCATCCCAGCACTCTGGGAGGCTAAGGCAGGTGGATTGCTTGAGCCCAAGAGTTCAAGACCACCCTGGGCAACATAGTGACACCCTTGTCTCTAAAAAGTTAAAAAAAAAAAAAAAAAAAAGGAAGCTTTGACGAGTAGTTGATCCTTAGAAGGGTTGAGAACAGATGAGATGAGGTTGGAATTGATGGTGCCTTCTCCTCATCCGGGCCCTAGGCCCCTAATGCCTGACTTTCCTGACTTTAGGATCCAAGCAGTACAGTGCAGCCATTGCCTTCACCCTGGCCCTTTTCTCCCACCTCGTCAATCATGTCAACATACGGCTGCAGGCCGAGCTGGAAGAGGGCGAGAATCCTGTCCCGGCATTCCAGAGTGATGGCACAGGTGGGAGAATGGGGGAGGTCATCACTATGGAAAGATTGGTGTGGGGCATGGGGATCAAGGAAAGGAACACAGACACGGGGGAAGTGGTGGTGGAGAGCATGTTCCAGCTTCCAGGCTCCACCTGTTCCTTGGGCTCCACCTGACCTTCCTCTTTCCACAGATGAACCAGAGTCCAAGGAACCTCTGGAAAAAGAGGAGGAGCCAGATCCTGAGCCGCCTCCTATAGCACCCCAAGTAGGTGAGGTCAGAAAGAGCCGTAAGTTCTCCCGCCTCTCCTGCCTCCGCCGTCGCCGCCACCCACCCAAAGCTGGTGATGACAGTGACCTGAGTGAAGGCTTTGAATCGGACTCAAGCCGTGACTCAGCCCGGGCCAGTGAGGGCTCAGACAGTGGCTCTGACAAGAGTCTTGAAGGTGGGGGAACGGCCTTTGATGCTGAAACAGACTCAGAAATGAATAGCCAGGAGTCCCGATCAGACTTGGAAGATATGGAGGAAGAGGAGGGGACACGGTCACCAGCCCTGGAGCCCCCTCGGGCCAGATCAGAGGCTTCCGTTTCCCTCAATGGTCCACTGGGCCCCAGTGAGGCTAGCATTGCCAGCAATCTACAAGCCATGTCCACCCAGATGTTCCAGACTAAGCGCTGCTTCCGACTGGCCCCCACCTTTAGCAACCTGCTCCTCCAGCCCACCGCTGACCCTCATACCTCAGCCAGCCGCAGGCCTTGTGTCAATGGAGATGTAGACAAGCCCTCAGAGCCAGGTATTTCGACCCCTTCATCATCCTGTTGTGGTCCACACCTACATGCCATAAACACTCACCTGAGAGGCCACCCTCCTCTCTGTGTGAGTGACCTCTCATCTCTATCCTTACCTTTGGCCCTTTGCCTGTGGTGTAGCCCATGAGTTTTTTCCTGAGGATCCTATCTCCTGCTTAGTCTGTCATTCGTGGCTCCCAACCCATTTGTTGGTTTTCTTTCTCTCGCACTTCACCCTGCCCTGTTTGTTTGGGGCTTTCCTCCCCACACAGCAATTGCAGCTGGAGCTTCCTTCCCTGGTGCCATCCCAGGTCCTTCCAGGGCTCCTGGAAGCTAGAAAAACTGATACCCACCAGGGCAGGTGCATTAGAGTGAGACTTCTCTGGTGATGATCTTCCCTGCAAAGAATACCCATTTAGTAGCAGCAGCAGCCATTTGTTAAGGCTACTCTATGCATTGTTCTAGGGCACTGTGGGTGTACAGTGGCGCAGTCTCAGCTCACCACAACCTCCGCTTTCCAGGCTCAAGTGATTCTCCTGCCTCAGCCTTCTGAGTAGCTGGGATTACAGCATGTACCACCACGCCAGGCTATTTTTTGTATTTTTAGTAGAGATGGGGTTTCACCATGTTGGCCAGGCTGGTCTTGAACTGTCGACCTCAAATGATCACCCTGCCTCAGCCTCCCAAAGTGCTGGGGTTACAGGTGTAAGCCACCATGCCCAGCCACCTCCAAAGTTTTATATATGGTGTTCTGTCTGTCTGGCATGTGCTTTTCCTCCCTTGCCCCCAGCCTGTCACTTAGCTAATTCTTACTTGCCCGCCTAGATTTTAGCTTAAAAGTCATTTGCTCTGGGACTCCTTTAAGGCTATGTTAGATTTGTTTCCTGTGGCCGCCTGCACCTCTGCAGCCCCCAGCCGTTTCCCACTCTGGTGAGGTTGCCTGTTGACTTGCCTGTCTCCCCAATTAGACTCTGAACTGCTTGAGGGCAGGACAGAATATGTCTTACTTATTGCTGTATCCCAGTACCTAACACAGTGCCTGCCACATGGGTGGGACTTAGAACTATCAAATGACTGAGTGAATGACAGAAATGAGAAAGCTGATGCTCAGAGATGTGAAGTGAGCAGCCCAGTGTTCTCACTTGCAAATTAGAAGAGCTAGGAGTTGAAAGTAACTCTTTTAAAACTGTACTCCTTGCTTTTCTCCCTCCCTTAGCTTCCCTAATTGTCTGCCCTGCCTTCCAGCACAGAGTAGGCACTTCATATATACTGGTTGAATGAATAGCTGTAGATCAGTGTCACAAATTGAATCTGTAAGAATCATATTTAAATTTAAAAGGTGCCATATTTAAAAAGCAACCTTGGTAAAATGAATTTGAGGAGATTAAAAAACAACAACAGTTAGTGGGTCTGGAAAAATTAAACAAGGGCCTGTTAGTGATATCCCAGCTTTTTCATATCAGAATTCCTCAGAAGGGCCCAGGCTGGGTGGAAGCATGCTCCCTGCACAGAGCTGAAGACTGTCGCCAGTGCCTGTAAGTTGTTTATCCCAGTTCTTTCTCTTTCATTCCCCCACCCCTCAGCCTCTGAGGAGGGCTCTGAGTCGGAGGGGAGTGAGTCCAGTGGACGCTCCTGTCGGAATGAGCGCAGCATTCAGGAGAAGCTTCAGGTCCTGATGGCCGAAGGCCTGCTTCCTGCTGTGAAAGTCTTCCTGGACTGGCTTCGGACCAACCCCGACCTCATCATTGTGTGTGCACAGGTGTGTTGGTTCACCCCATTGCTCCTGTCAGGTCCCAGGGTCTTGGAGGAGAGGATGAGCAAGGATGGGGCCTGAGAATCCCCCTAGATGGCCAAGACAAGAATTACTCCAGGCAGCCAAGCAGCTATCTATGCTATGCCCTATTGCTTCTGACAGGGAAGGATTAGGCATGATCTTGGCCCTCACAAAGCCTGTGGCCAGGGAACAATGAGCAAGCTGCTTATTTTGCTTTGTATCCCCAATGCTGGCCATAATGGCTGCCATTATGTGTAAGGAAAGTAGAAGTATGTGTTCAAGGACCAAACTTGATAAATACCAAAGAGTCCAGAGAAAGGAGACAGCATTGTGTAGAGGATAGTGGCAGAAGAGATAGGAACTTCTGACAAGAGTTGTGAAGATGTACTAGGCAGGGGAAACAGCCTAAGGAGAGTCACACAACAGGACTGAGCCGTCCGGCTGGCTGCCATGGAGGCTGGGTGGGGCCATGGTAGCTTTCCCTTCCTTCTCAGGTTCAGTGTCAGTATTCAGCCTCTAATTCCCAGAGACATTTATTCAGTGTTTTCTTCTAGGGGCACACCTGCCCTGCTGTGGAAGACCCTCTGCCCTTTGGTTTGCCCCATTCCCTAGATGAGAGAGTTTGGGTCAGGGCCAGGTGCACCCTTGGGTGTGTGCTTATGTCTGATGGCAGTTAGTTACTCAGTCATTAGTCATTGAGGGAGGTGTGGTGAAGATGGAGATGCTGAGTCACATTCCTGGAGAGGTGTTCCAATATGGGCACATGGGAGGGCCGGAAGGAAAGGTTTCTGCCTGACATAACGAAGGCACATCCTTTAACACACTGAATTTCCCCGCTACCAAGATCCAGAAAGTCCTTGTGGTTTAACTGCTTTCTCTTTTCGTAAAGCATTCAGCTGGTGAAAAAGCTCAGCTAGGCTCTTCTCGAACTCCTGACTCAAGTGATCTGCCTGCCTCAGCCTCTCAAAATGTTGGGATTACAGGCATAAGCCATTGCACCCAGTCCAAATGTGGCTTTTTTTGTTTTTTGTTTTGTTTTCTTTTGAAACAAGTTCTCACTTTGTTGCCCAGGCTGGAGTGCAGTGGTACATCTCAGCTCCACTATGGCCTCAACCACCCAGGCTCAAGCAATCCTCCCAACTCTATCTCCCCAGTAGCTAGCTGGGACAACAAATGCACACCACCATGCCCAGCTAATTTTTTCCTTTTTTTTTTTTGAGAAGGAGTTTCGCTCTTGTTACCCAGGCTGGAGTACAATTGTGTGGTCTCAGCTCACCGCAACCTCCACCTCCCGGGTTCAAGTGATTCTCTTGCCTCAGCCTCCTGAGTAGCTGGGATTACAGGCACCCACCACCACGCCTGGCTAATTTTTTTTTTTTTTTTTTTTTGTATTTTTAGTAGAGACGGGGTTTCTCCCTGTTGGTCAGGCTGGTCTCGAACTCCTGACCTCAGATGATCCACCTGCCTCAGCCTCCCAAAGTGCCGGGATTACAGGCATTAGCCATTGTGCCTAGCTTTCCGGGCTAATTTTTGTATTTTTTGTAGAGACAGTGTTTTGCCTTGTTACCCAGGCTTATTTTGTTAATTTTTAAATCAAACCCCCATAGGGCTGTGAACATAGGCCATATCCCCTAGTGCTGTTCTCTCTCACTGTCTCTGGCTAAAGACTTCCTCTTCCTTCTCTCTCCCCAGAGCTCTCAAAGTCTGTGGAACCGCCTGTCTGTGTTGCTGAATCTGTTGCCAGCTGCTGGCGAACTCCAGGAGTCTGGTGAGGGGGTCCCTGGCACTACCCTCCTTTCTTTTCTCCTGCATTGGCCTCACTAAGCCCATCCCCCCTCCTCTTAACCCAGCCCTTGGGGTAAGGAGGTTAATGGGATTCACTGCCAGCCTCCCTAGCACACAGCAGTCATTGTGTGGTCTAGGGCTCTCCGGTTTCCCACCCCAACACTGTTGTACTGTGTGTGGGCAGGTGGCCTGGTCAGCAAAGAGTCTCTCCCTGGGGAAGACAAGGGCAGAGTGAGAGGGGCCTGGGAGCCAGGCCTCACTGCCGCTGTTGCACTGATGCCTGCGGTCATTGAGAATTGACTTTGACCTACCAAGTTTGTTTGGCTCATCCCCTCCCACCACCTTCCAGATGGAAAACTCCACCTGTTCCTATTTCTTGAGACTTGCCAAGGGCTATTCAATCATCCTGAGCCCTTCCTCTCATTTCTATCCCAATGTAATTGTCCCTTCTATCAGGGAGTCTTCCTGACCTGAGCCATCCTTGTTCTTCCTGAGCCTCTCTGCTCTGCCTGATTGGCTCTTATGTGTCCATCCCTCTTTCCTTCACTCCCTCCATGTCTCGCCACTGTCTTAGGGTATGTCCTGTCTCATTGTCTCATCCGCCTGATAATTCCCAAAGGGAAGGGCTATGTCTCTCTGACTGGGAGTTCCCACAGGATGGATGGTCTGATATGTCCTCCTTCTGCCCAGGCCTGGCCTTGTGTCCTGAGGTCCAGGATCTTCTTGAAGGTTGTGAGCTGCCTGACCTCCCCTCTAGCCTTCTGCTCCCGGAGGACATGGCTCTTCGTAACCTGCCTCCCCTCCGAGCTGCCCACAGACGCTTTAACTTTGACACAGATCGGCCCCTGCTCAGCGCTTTAGAAGAGGTGAGGATATAATTTCTTATGCCACAGCTGTTTGTCACACACAGCGACAAACGGGCTCAGGGCTGGGGAGAAAGAGGGCAAGACACCCTCTTCCACCTAGACAGGGACAGTGTCCTTGGGGTTATAGGCCATGCACCCTTTGTTCAGTGAGCCATTTTAGCTTTCTTCCTACCTTGGCAGGATGTCCTTCTAAAGGTCTGCCATTGGTGCCACCAGTAGGTTCTACAGAACAACTACCCCCCTTCTTTTCTCTGTCTTCTGTAAAGGGCAGAACAAGTGGTTATTGGAGCTTTGAAATCTTTATCAGTCTCTTTTCTAACTCTGGGCCCAGCCTGCTCTGAGCTGAACATAAAGCAATCATAGAAAGTTAAAGCTGGAAGGGAATGTGCTGCACCCTTAGTCCAGCAGCTCTCACCCTTGAATCTCCATTACCATATGGGCCATTTGGGGGCAGCAGAGGAAAGCCAAGCAGGCAGGCCACCCAGTCCTGACATGCAAAAACCAACTGGCTGCTCCCTCTCCAGCCAGAGCCGCTTGGCTCTGTTTTTTTTTTTTTGTTTGTTTGTTTGTTTTTGAGATGGAGTTTCGCTCTTTTGCCCAGACTGGAGTGCAGTGGCACGATCTCAGCTCACTGCAACCCCCACCTTCCAGTTTCAAGCAATCATTCTCCTGCCTCAGCCTCCCGAGCAGCTGGGATTATAGGCACTTGCCACCACACCTAGCTAATTTTTGTATTTTTAGTAGAGACAGGGTTTTACCATGTTAGCCAGGATGGTCTCAAAGTAGTGGCCTTGTCATCTGCCTGCCAGGATGGTCTCGAAGTAGCGACCTTGTCATTTGCCTGCCTTGGCCTCCCAAAGTGCTGGGATTACAAGCCTGAGCCACCATGCCTGGCTGGCTTTGTTTTATATTTTAGAGTTCTAATAAGATTTTTATTTGAGAGTGAAGAAGGGTTTTACTGACCACAAAAGTAAGTTGGGGCCAGGTGTAGTGGCTCATGTCTGTAATCCTAGCACTTTGTGGGGGCCAAGGCAAGGGGATTGCTTGAGCTCAGGAGTTTAAGAACAGACTGTGTAGGCCGGGCACAGTGGTTCATGCCTGTAATCCCAGCACCTTGGGAGGCTGAGATGGGCGGATCATAAGATCAGGAGTTTGAGACTAGCCTGGCCAACAAAGTGAAACCCTGTCTCTACTAAAAATACTAAAATTAGCCGGTTGTGGGGTTGAGTGCCTGTAATCCCAGCTACACAGGAGGCCGAGGCAGGAGAATTGCTTGAAACTGGAAGGCGGAGGTTGCAGTGAGCCGATATCACGACATTACACTCCAGCCTGGGCGAACGAGCAAAACTGCATCTCAAAAAATAAAAAAGAATAGCCTGGGCAATATGGCAGGACCCCATTTCAATAAAAAAAAATACAAAAATTAGCTGGGCATGGTGGGGCGTGCCTGTAGTCCCAGCTACTTGGGGGCTGAGGCGGGAGGATGGGTTGAGCCCAGGAGGTAGAGGCTGCAGTGAGCTATAATCACACCACTGTCCTCCAGCCTGGGTGATAAAGCAAGATTCTGTCTCAAAAAACAAAAAATTAATATTAAGTGTGGAAAATGTTATCTAGTTTGGTCCCATGGAGCATATGAGAAGCATTAGGAGAGAGATGGCATTAGAACCCAGGTCTCCTCACTTCCAGCCCATGCCATTTTTTCTTGCTTCTTAGCTCAAGTCCTGGTTCTCTGGTCCTCCTAGGAGTTTCCTTGCTGTACCTACTCATTTTGTGGCAGTTAAAGGCTCTAGGCCTTAGTGTTTCTCCTTCGCACCCCGTAGAACACAAGTCTTTCCCTGGAGCCCTTGTTGCCGAGGTGGCTGGGCCAGCAGGGAGGTGGGAGGGAGGGAGGGAGGGAGGGGGTCCTGGAGGGCAGGGTGGGCCTAGAGGGCCCTGCTCAGTGGCGCTCAGCTCCTGTCTCTCCCCCCAGTCAGTGGTGCGCATCTGCTGCATCCGCAGCTTTGGTCACTTCATCGCCCGCCTGCAAGGCAGCATCCTGCAGTTCAACCCGGAGGTTGGCATCTTCGTCAGTATTGCCCAGTCTGAGCAGGAGAGCCTGCTGCAGCAGGCCCAGGCGCAGTTCCGAATGGTGAGTCAAGCCTTCCCATCCCTGTCAGCTCTGCTCCCATTTACCTCACTGAGAAACCTGGGCAAGATGCGTAGACTGTCTGGTGGTCTCCACCTCAAGGGCATAGTAAGATGCTTAGGAAGAGGGAAGGGGAGGCTGGGAGGGAGGCCTGGGAGGGACTAAGGTATGGGACTGATAGGGACTGAGAGAGGCTTTGAGCAGAGGCTACCTGGCTCAGGACCTGTACGCAGACTGATCTGGGTTTGAGGCCACCTCTTAGTCTATGAATTGAGCAAGTCACTTAACCTTGCCAAGCCAGTTTACTTGTCAGTTAATGTGAGAATAAATAGAATCCACTTTATATAGTTTTTTGAAGATAGAATGATAGTGGATATGAGGTGCCTTGCACATTGTCTTATGGAGCATGTGTATGCTTAGTAAATGTTTCCTCTCTTCCCGTTCATGGGAAGGGATAAAGACTGAGGAATAGAAGGCAGTGGAGCGCTCCTGATATAAGGGGCCATGAAGGAACCTTCCCATCTCAGATATGGTCCCATCCCACAGGGGCCCCAAAGGATAGAAAGTGTTACCTCTTTTCCATCCAGTAATTCACTCCACAAATGTTTATTGAGAGTCTACTTTGTGCCAGACATGTCAGTATTCTAGGCACTGGGGTTACAGCAGTGAACAAGACAGGCCTTTCTCTTGGGGGGCTGATACTTTGTGAGCAACAATCTGGTTTTCACAGTGGGGCCTGCACAGCCCTGGGCATGTTTCCCGACACACCACCCCCTGTGAAGTGGCACCAGTACATTTGGGTTGTTAGTGTCTGGCATATGTGTCTCAGCAAGCCCTCAGGGTTTCTTCTTCATCTTAAGCCAATCCCCTTCCCCACATTCTTCCTTTCCACCCGTCCCAGGGCCAGCAACTTCCCCACCCTTTCTGAGTCCCATTTCTTATGGGCATTCTGCTTGGCTGGGAAGGGGCAAAAGCTCGCCAGAAACTCCCTTTCTTGCTGTTTTAAAAACAAGCACATTTTGTTAAAAACAAACCTTTTGTGTTAAGGCTTTTATTGCTAGTGCATAGAGGAAGACGTGGTGGGGGGGGGGGTTACAAAAATAATTATGAGGAAGTTAGACAGTTTCAAAAAATGTTAGAATTTTATCAGGCATTTCCTCTGGCCTAAAGCTCCTGAAGACTTCTCCTGGAGGGCCAGGGAGTACCTGCTAGCTGAGGCTGCCTCCTGCTCTGCTTGAGTCACAGGCTTCCACCCCGAGGGGCTTATCCTCAGCCAGAGGAGTGTTGTCCTTGTCATGTTTATCAAGAGTGTTCTCTATGCACAGCCTAGTTTGCATGGGACATCTCATCTAACCTTTGCAGCAGCCCAGTGAGGTTGGTGCTTACATCCTCCATTTTATAGATAAGAAAATGTAGGCAGGGTGCCGTGGCTCACACCTGTAATCCCAGCACTTTGGGAGGCTGAGGCAGGCAAATCACTTGAGGTCAGAAGTTTGAGACCAGCCTGACCAACATGGTGAAACCCCATCTCTACTAAAAATACAAAACTTAGCTGAGTGTGGTGGTGGGTGCCTACAGTCCCAGCTACTCAGGAGGGTGAGGCAGAAGAATCTCTTGAACCTGGGAGGTGGAGCTTGCAGTGAACCAAGATCATGCTGCTGCACTCCAGCCTGGGCAACAGAGCAAGACTGCCTCAAAAAAAAGACAAAAAAAAAAATATATATATATATATATATATAGATGAAGACAAAGAAACATTCCTAAGATCAAAAAGTGTAGTCGGTAGTAGAGCCAGGGCTCTGGAGTTGGACAAACTGTGGAGTTCTTATCCTGGCTCTTTTCTGCTGCTTTAGAGATTTAGCTTTTCTCTATGCGAAGTGGGCACTAGGAGTTGCTGGGGCTGCAGGATCTGCTGATGGGACCTCTAAAGGTAGGCTTTCCCTCTGAGGAACATGTAGGCCCACATCTGTTTGTTGTTGTTGTTGTTGTTTTTTGAGACAGAGTTTTACTCTGTCACAGAGGCTGGAGTGCAGTGGCGCCATCTCAGCTCACTGCAACCTCCGCCTCCCAGGTTCAAGTGATTCTCTTGCCTCAGCCTCCTGAGTAGCTGGGATTACAGGCACATGCCACTGCGCCCAGCTAATTTTTTTTGTATTTTTTAATAGAGACAGAGTTTCAACATCTTGGCCAAGCTGGTCTCGAACTCTTGACGTCGTGATCCACCTGCCTCGGCCTCCCAAAATGCTGGGATTACAGGCATGAGCCACCGCGCCCAGCTCGGCCCGGCCCGCATCTGTTTGAAATGCTGGGTTGGTGATGCTGATCAGAGCCTCAGATTAGCACAGCTCCTTCTTCTTGGGTCTAGATGGATCCCACTTACCTGCACTAGTTCTGTTGGGGGGATTTTACACAAGTGCCCCCATCTCCCTCTCTTGAATATGGGGTTTCACAATTACCATTTTAGCCTAAAAGCAACCTGTGGACTTGATTTCTGCTGTAGGAAGAGGGGAAGTTTGTCTATGGGGCCTCCCTTTCTTACCAGTTTGCCCATAGGGCCTGTGAGAGAATGACTGTCCCAGGAGGTTAAGCTACAGTCAGCCAGCCAAGATCTGGTCACTGCCCTCCAGCCTGGGTGACAATGAGACCCTGCCTCAAGGAAAATGGCTCTCACCTAGGCTCTGGTCTTCTGCTTCCATTCTTTCATTTGACCACATTGTTTCTCAAAGGGGACACTATTGGCACTTTGGACAGAACAATTCTTTGTTGTGCAGCACTCTGCAGGGGTTGGGGGTGGATCTTGCAACTGTAGACTTTATTCATATTTCCCTAGTGTTCCCACCAGTGTCTGTTTTCTCTTCTGTAATCCAGTCCAGGATCCACAGTATGATTGATTTTCACGTATCCTTAGTCTCCTGCGATCTCTGACAGTTCTCAGTGTTTCCTTTTCTTTCCTGATGTGACACTTTTGAAGAGTACTGGTCAGTTATTTCATAGTATCCTTCAGTTTGGGTTTGTGTGATGTCTCATGATGAGAATGAGAATTTTTTTTTTTTTTGAGGCAGGGTCTTGCTCTGTCAACCCAGGCTGAAGTGCAGTGGCACAACCATAGCTCACTGCAGCCTTGAACTCCTGGGCTCAGGCAATCCTCCTGCCTCAGCCTCCTGAGTAGTTAGGACTACAGGCGTGTACCACCAAGTTTGACCATGTATATATATGTGTGTGTATCTTGTAGAAAAGAAATGGGATCTTGCTATGTTGCTGAAACTGGTCCCAAACTCCAGAGCTCACTCCAACCTCCACCTTCTGGGTTCAAGCAATTCTCATGCCACAGCCTCCCAAGCTGGGACTACAGGCACAAGCCACCATACCTGGCTAATTTTTGTATTTTTAGTAGAGACAGGGTTTCACCATGTTGGCCAGGCTGGTCTCGAACGCCTGATCTAGGGTGATCCTCCCACCTCAGCCTCCCAAAGTGCTGGGATTACATGTATGAGCCACTATGCCTGCCTCCAAGATGAATATTTTATTTATTTTTTGAGATAGAGTCCTACTCTGTTGCCCAGGCTTTAGTACAGTGGCTCAGTCTTGGCTCTCTGCAACCTCTGCCTCTGGGTTCAAGCAATTCTCCTGCCTCAGCCTCCTGAGTAGCTGGGATTACAGGCACCTGCCACCATGTCTGGCTAATTTTTGTATTTTTAGTAGAGACAGGGTTTTGCCATGTTGGCCAGGCTTGTTTCCAACTCCTGACCTTAGGTGATCCGCCTGCCTCGGCCTCCCAAAGTGCTGGGATTACAGGTGTGAGCCACCACGCCTGGCCAAGATGAATATTTTAAAGCACCACTTTGATGATGCCACTTTGCTTATCAAAGAGTCTTCAGTGGGCTGGGTGCCATGGCTCATGCCAGTAATCCCAGCACTTTGAGAGGCCAAGGTGGACAGATTGCTTGAGTCCCGGAAGTTTGAGACCAGCCTGGGCAACGTGGTGAAACACCATCTCTACAAAAAATACAAAAATTAGCCAGGCATGGTGGCATGTGCCTGTAGTCCCAGCTAGTTGAGGGGCTGAGGCAGGAAGATCACTTGAGCCTGGGAGACAGAGGTTGCAATGAGCGGGAATCGTGTCACTGCACTCCAGCTTGGGTGACAGATTGAGACCCTGTCTCAAAAGAAAAGCAGAAAAAAGAGTCTTCATTGGCTCCCCATAGCTTGCAGGATAAAGTCCCCATCCATAACTTCATCTTTTAGACCATATTAAGGAATTTGGGCTTTACCCAGAATACAGAGGAAAGGCATCGGAAGACTTTAGGTAGGGCTGTAATGGGCATCACATGGTTTTTAAAAGATTGCCTTGGTTGTAGGTGGAGAAAAGGGATTGAATTAGAGGCAGAGACCAGTAGTCAAGGAGAGGTGTTGACTTAGACTAGGGCTTCACAGTGGAGGTGGAAGGATTTGCATACTGTTTAGGGGCACAGTTGACAGGACAGGGAAGCTAATACTTTCTGGGGCTGAGAGAGGGAAGATTCAAAGCCAACCCTGAGCTTTCTGACTTGGGCAGACTGTAGTTTATTTACCAGGCTAGGGAACACTAGAGGAAGAGAAGCAGGTTCTTGAGGAGCAGATTGGGCTGCTGAGTAGGCAGTTGGATGTGTGGATCTGGAGCTCAGGATGGTCAGGCCTGGGCTGAATCTGCAGATGTGGAAGATGTTGGCAAGCAGATGGGGGTAGAAGGTGAGGGAGTGCATAGGTAGGATCTCCTGGGAGGGGAGACCAGATTGAGAAGAGCAGATTGAACCCTGAGGCACAGCCAGGTGAAGTCCTGCTTGGCGATGCACATGGCTGTCTGCTCCCCTCCCCTGCAGGGCCTGGAACGTCATGACCTGCACTGGGTTGGTTATGGAGGTTGTTCACAGTGCAGCGGAAGAATATTTTTTCTTCCATGCCTCTCCTCCCCTCATCTAAAGTGACTTTACATGAAGCCACACTGTTTGAGACCCCAGGAAATCCTCTTGGTCTTCCTGATCACCGGAGAAGGGCATGTGTATCCTAACTCCTAATAACTCGTGTCTTCCCCTCATAGGCACAGGAGGAAGCTCGTCGGAACAGGCTCATGAGAGACATGGCTCAGCTACGACTTCAGGTAGGAAATCAGGGGCCCAAGTGCTTCTTCTGCACTTGGTAGAGCTTTTGCTTAAACCCCACTGGCAGGTCTTCCCCCTTCCATTCTAGGCCCCCTGCTCTGTTGCCGCTGTGTCCCTCCACCTCTCCCAGCTCACCCTCCCTACTACCAGCCCTTCACTCAGCCCCCTTTCTGCTTTCACTTCTGTCTCTCCCTTTCTCTTTAACTCTAATTTCTGTCTGTTTTTTCCCCAAAGCCATTGGTAGAAAGGTCCCCTGATCCCCTTAGCAATAGGAGAAACCCCATAAGAGCTACCTTGAGGACCACTGTTCCCCCACCCCAGGCTGAAGGGGTCCCCCGCAGCTGTACCCACCCTGCCCTCTCTCACCAGCTCGAGGTCTCTCAGCTGGAGGGCAGCTTGCAGCAGCCCCGGGCCCAGTCGGCTATGTCTCCCTACCTCGTCCCTGACACCCAGGCCCTCTGCCACCATCTCCCTGTCATCCGCCAACTGGCCACCAGTGGCCGCTTCATTGTCATCATTCCAAGGACGGGTAAGTACATTGGAGAGGTAAGGGGACAGATAGAGTGTGGGTAAAAGAGATTCTGGGCTTGGGATTAAGAGACCTTTATTTGGGGCTCAATTTATACACAGTGACCTTGGTCAAGTCTTACCACCTTTGTGAACATGTCACTTCATCATGCAATGGACATAACAGTCCCTATTCTGCCTCACAAGATATTTGGGAGAAACAGAAAATAGAAGTGAATACAATGTGAAAGTACTTGGTAAATTCCAAGTATATTGCTGTCAGAAGGTCACTATCTTCAGAGAACTTTGTGAGCCCTCTAGGGAGCCAGGGTCCTTTCTTTGCCTGCAGGATGTACTGAGGTGAGCTCAGATACTTCCTCCAGAGCCTCTTGTCACAGCAGTCTGAGCTTATCTGTTTTGTCCTTCCCTACCCTCACCTTGCTCACCAGTGATTGATGGCCTGGATTTGCTGAAGAAGGAACACCCAGGGGCCCGGGATGGGATTCGGTACCTGGAGGCAGAGTTTAAAAAAGGAAACAGGTGAGTGCAGGCCTGGCGGGACCTGTGCTGCGTCCTGGGTCCATCTTTGGACAACACATGCTTATAAGCCCCTTGTTCCCTATGGGTAAGACACATACATACCTGTTGCTACGCACAGTTTGCTCACTGCCTGGGGAGTGATACCACAGATCATTAGAAGTCAAGGTCGTAGGTGCCGAAATGACAGGTGACCAAAGGAGCCAGGAGCCCTGTGGGGAGCACTGAGCTGCTGTCCTTCTTCCTCTGGGGCAAGCCTGTGATCACCACCCACTGGGGAGAAGGGAGCAGGCTTCCCTCCCCCAACATTAGACTGTGAATTTCTTTACAGGAGGAGTTTCTCCTGCTTTGGGGTGGGACAGGTGATCAGGTTTCTCAGAGTGTGAGGGCCTTCATCTGGGCTGCCCACCTTCCCACTGACCTGAGGCAGTGGTGAGACTGAAGCCAGCCAGGGATGAGCAGATGGCAGCATGTGCAGGTGCTCAGCCCGGTGCAGGCCTCCTCTTCTGGCCTTGGGGACCGGAGGAGGACTAGGCAGAGGGTGTAGGGAATAATGAGAAAGCTTCCCTCTCCATGGTAGCCGGCCCACCCCCTCCTCTGCATCTGCTCTGCCTGGCCAGGAAGCTGTACAAGGCCTGATTGTTTGGACCTTGTCTCCAGAAGCCCTGAGTTGAAAAGCATCTGCTAATTCTCCCCTCTCAGATCCTCCCCTGGGAGGAACCAAAGAATTGATGTTATCAGGAGGAAGAGCGAGCCTCGCCCAGCAGCCAGGAAGCCACTTGGAAATGGTTCTAAACAGAGCTGTGGTGGGAGAGACGTGTTCCCTGCCCCGCCTGCAAAACCAGGCCCACAGAGCCACAACGGCCTGCTTTGTGTAAGGCACCCTGCCTGTCCTCTGCTGCTGACTTCCACTCACACGTCTCCTTTGCAGGTACATTCGCTGCCAGAAAGAGGTGGGAAAGAGCTTTGAGCGGCATAAGCTGAAGAGGCAGGATGCAGATGCCTGGTAACACTTCAACCCTCACCCCTAGAACCTCAGTCAGGCCACCTGCCTTGCTCCTCCGCAGGCATTCCCAGGGAGAACGGGCAGGGCTGGAGAGTTCTGAGGCTGTGCACGTAGCCTGCCAGGGCCTCCTGCAGGCCCCACCTTTCGAGAGTACGAAGTTGCCCCAGCACCTGAGCTTTGTAGATGGGGCAGCCTCTTCGGGCCTTGCGATGCTCAGGCTGGTATTTTCCTTCAGTGCACCTTTGCCTCCTCCCCATAGTGTCTCCTCCAGGGCCAGCCTCCAGGGCCCACTGCTGCTTGCTGCCCTCCCAGTCCCCAGCTGCCCCTGTCCCCTGGTGGGCTGTGCCAATGCTGGGTGGTGACCCATCTTCCCCTCTGCCTCCCATCCCCAGGACTCTCTATAAGATCCTGGACAGCTGCAAACAGCTGACTGTGGCCCAGGGGACAGGTGAGGAGGACCCAAGTGGCATGGTGACCATCATCACAGGCCTTCCACTGGACAACCCCAGCGTGCTTTCAGGCCCCATGCAGGTGGGTCATGGGTGAGGTGGGGGGATGGTGTGGAATAGGGACGAGGTACCAGAGTAGATTCTGTCCCCAGACCCTCCACATAGCTGTCCTTTTCTCTCCCATCACTCCTTCCCCAGCCCCTCAACGACTTGCTCCTCAGTTTGGGAGGTCAGGCCCTCTCCATCTTTCCTCCTCCCCTTCCACAGGCAGCCCTGCAGGCCGCTGCCCATGCCAGCGTGGACATCAAGAATGTTCTGGACTTCTACAAGCAGTGGAAGGAGATTGGTTGAGACTGACCCCCAGGCCCTGCAGTGGGGCTGACTCCAGATCTCTCCTGCCCTCCCTGGCAGCCAGGACCAGCACCTGCAGTCACCCCACCACACGCAGACTCATGCACGCACACAGGAGGGAGGCCTAGCTGCTCAGAGGCTACAGGGAGGGCCCAGGAGCCAGCTGGGAGGGTGGGGTCCCTTTGTTGCCAAGACGTTAAGAAAGCGAGGAAAGTGCTTAGAGCAGGAGAGTCCTGTGGGCCCCTGGCCAGCCTTCTTGCCTCAACTCCCCTGCTGTCTCCAGGGGCAGGTGGCAGGCATGGGTACCTGCATTTCACTGGAGTGGGTTCTTGGATCTCTGAGGGGAAGGAACAGCAGAAGAGGGCCCTTCTTCCTCACCCAAGATACAGGGTGGTTGGGGCCAGAAGTTTGGATCCTCCAGGTCTTGGGGAAAGAGGTGGGTAATACCTGATGTCTGCGTGGTTCTCTGCAGACCCTTCCCCTCCTCAAGGACCACCCATACTCCTTTCAGCCCCCTTTATGGGGGCCGGGCAGCTCTGGAGCCAGCCACGGGCTCTTACAGAAGCGAGGCCTGGAGTGGCCTGCACCGAGTTGCAGGGTCAGGGTTCGTGTGCTCCTCCTGCCACAGGGGCCATACATCCCACTGCCCCACTTCTGCTTTCTGTCTTCCTCTGTCTAGCTTCCAGGGCAGGGAGCAGGCCCCACCTAGGGCTGCAGGCAGTCTGGCCTGTGCCAGCGTGGGCTCCCGTGCCTACCAGTCTTACAGGCGCTGTGCTTGTTCTCCTGGCTGCTGTGCTAGGGCAGAATGGGATGATGGAGAAGAAAGGGGGTGCAGTCTGACGCCACGCCCCGCTTCCTGTCTACAGGAGGGCTGAAGACAAGGGGCTGGCATTCAGTGGGCAGCAGAAAGAAGAGGCCCCTTGAAACTGCTCAGTCAGGGGTCCCCTGTCCCCCCTTTTGCCCTCCCCAGGACTAAAGACTTGGAGGCGCTGGGTGTGGGGCTGGCTTCGGGAGTGTCGAGGTGAATATGTGGGAGCAGAGATCATGAATAGCTCAGGGCAGTGAACGGCGCACCAAGAGCAGGGTCGTGTGTGGGAGGCTGTGGCCAGGATTGCCTCAGCTCCTCCCCCTCAGGCTGGGAGGATAGTACAGGCTGGCGGCTGGGGTTGGAGGGTCTCAGCTCTGCTGCCCCCACCCCAGTACTAGCCTGCCTTCCCAAGCTGTGGCTTGGAGGATAGCTGGCTTCCTGCCTCTTTCCTCTAAAACAGCAAGTCTGGGAAATCCTGGGGTGAGTGGGGTCACCCCACCAACAGTTGCTGGCAGAGACTGAGACTAAAGCATCACTTAATAAACCCCCAAGCCCAACCCTGTCTCCTCGTGCCTCTCTACGGAAGTTTTATTGGGAGGTGGGACATTGAAGAGGGCATCCTGAAATGCACTGTGGAAAGACTTCTTTGAAGTGGATGGAACAGAACAAGAAGCAGGCAATTTGAGTGAGAGCCCTGGAGATGCTTTTATGGTAGACACTGTCGACTGAGGCATGCCTTTGCAAGGGCGATAGGTGGAAATCTCTTGCCAGCAAATACCGCTGCCTGCATTTGGTTTGCTAAGGGCGATAGGTGGAAATCTCTTGCCAGCAAATACCGCTGCCTGCATTTGGTTTGCTGTCACCAGGAGAAGGAATGATACCTGATATCTGATCCCCTACCCCCCCCCCCACTGTCTCTTCCTCAAGGGGCTAGGGAGGTGAGCCTTGAAACCAGCCTGAGTCCTCAAGTGCCTGTCCTGCAAGGATTGGCACCTCAAATTGTATTCAGGGTCGGGCTGGGGAGGTGATAAGCTTGGCAAATCTGCCGTGATAGAACCAACATTTATCAAAGGCAGCTGGCTCTGAGCCTTACCCAGCACCAGATGCTAAGAGGCAGCAAGGCATGGTGAGAGATGGCTTCTGAAATCTGGTCAGAATTCGGGGATTTGGGTTCCTCTGCCAGCCTAAGGCAGAGCTGTCCTCAGCTGCTGGGAGAACCTAGAACAGGGGAACACCTCTCTGGGTGGACTCTACAGCGCCATGGCCAAGTTCTGGCTTGGGCCCCTAGCCTGTTCTAGCCGGCCTGAGCACAGGGAGTTTAGGTCGTGCTGGAGGAGCTGGCTGTGTGCAGGCAGCAGAGTGAGCTGCCTGCTAATGGGGCTGGGCCACCCTGTGCTGCTCCCTGGAGGCTGGACAAGGCTGGGATTGTTCCCTGGCTCCCCTTTGTCTCCCCACTCCCCGCCCAGGCCTGGCCCGCCTGCCCGGCCACTCTCCTTCATCAGCCTGGCTGGCAGCAGCCTTGGACTCCGCCCGTGGAGCCCTGGGCCTGCTGACCCATCAGCTTAGGAGCACCCACCAAGCTCTGGGTAAGGAAGCTCACCTGGGGCTCTGATACCACCTCTCCTGGGGAAATAGAGGTAAAGCACCTTGCTCCAGCTGTCCCTCCCCCATTTCCATAGCAACTGCACACGCCCCACTCCGGAGCTCTCCAAACCCTACTGCTAAAGAAAGGCACCGTGAGGGAAGCTAGACCCCAGTGAATTTCTCACTTCTCCAGATAGATGGGCAGCACTCTGGGTAGGGGAGACATCCCCCATCCCACTTGTGAGAGCAGACAAGGGATACCCTGGGAGGCCCTCATCCATCTTTGTTCTGCTGGGGTGCAGGGACTAGGGCCAAGTCTGCTTTGTGTCCAGTAGGGTCCGCAGCACCCATCTCAGGGGCAGAGGCTGGGGGAGTGACTGCTGGTGCAAGCCCCAGAGTGCATGCGACACAAACACGGATGCGCAAAGCTGGTGGCAGGAAGAGGAGGGGCTAGGCTATGGAGTTGCTGCAAAGTTTTGGCCTGGGGGAGTGTCCTATTCCTCCTCCTGGGGCAGCTCCGCCTGCCCAGCTGGCCCAGCCCCTCCACTTGTGCCAAGGAATGTGCCAGGAGAGGCAGGTGGGGCAGCAGAGCCACGGCCACCCGGAGGCAGCGCACAGGTCTGGGGCTCAGGGGTAGGGGGCTTAGAAGGGGCAGAGACCCCAAAACACTGCCGAGGCCCAAGTGTAGTCCTCAGAGAAAAGCCAGGCATCTTCTAACTCCTTGTCCCACCTGACGGCATCTGGCTTCTCCAGGGATTCTTTCTGAGGAGTGCCAAGCTTAGAATCTGTGCTCAGACCGGCGCTGTGGGCTGAAGTGCATTCTGGTGGGGCGGGGTGTACTACTCGGGCTGTCTCTGTGCTGGCCTCAAGTCAGGATTCTTCCCGAGATAAAAACTGGGACCTGGGGGGCTGGATCACTATTTGAGGCAGCCTCCTAGCTGGGAGGGCCCACCACTGCATGCTGGGCTGAGGCTGCCTAGCCCCTCAGTGTGGGGACTGAATACCCCAAGGAGGACACAGGCAGGGATGGAGTTAAGAGGTGGGACGGCTGGGGAAGCTGGACCAGCCTCCCCGGGCTTGAAGGAAGCATTTCCAGGAGGGGAGGGTGCCAGGTGCCTCCCACACACGCAGCCCATCCTGGGGCTGAACCCAGGTGAAAGGGCCTGTGGATGGGGACAAATATCTGATCCCCTACCCCCACTCTGTCTCCAGGTCAACGTGGAGGTGCCAGGCCACCATGCTCAGTCTCAAGCTGCCCCAACTTCTTCGAGTCCACCAGGTCCCCAGGGTGAGGGGCTCCACCCACTGACCCACCAACCCCCACTCCTAGAGGACTGACTAGGGGCAGAGATTCTTCCCTTTTAGTTACTGGGGCAGCCCCTCCTGCAGGCGAACTCTTAAACCTCCCATTCCAGTGTGAAACTTTTCCTCTGTTCTCTGAGGAACAAGCTGTGGCCCTCCATCCTGCGTCCCCTTCCACAGAGCGCCCTGTCGGTGTGCTGCACCCCGCCCCACCCCACCCCACCCCGCCCCACCCCGCCCCAATCGGCCTCTTCGGTTTCCCATCTGATCTGTGGGCACTGGAACCTGTGGTAAGATCAGATCAGATTTAATTTGGCTTGGGGGCCAGGTTGATCTCCAGCCCATCCTCTTTGACCCTGCTTCCAGAGATCTCAAATGGAGGGAGAGGGTCCGGGCACAGTGACTCCTCTCCTTTCCCACCACTATCCCAGGTGTTCTGGGAAGATGGCATCATGTCTGGCTACCGCCGTCCCACCAGCTCGGCTTTGGACTGTGTCCTCAGCTCCTTCCAGATGACCAACGAGACGGTCAACATCTGGACTCACTTCCTGCCCACTTGGTGAGGGGAGGCTCTGCCCCAGTCCGCGACCTTCAGCTCAAAGGGGGTACCCAGGCGGGCAGGGACTGTCCAGGCCCACGGGCTGCAGCGGCAATCGCGGGGGTCCGCGGCGGCCTGAGCACGCGCCCGCCGCAGGTACTTCCTGTGGCGGCTCCTGGCGCTGGCGGGCGGCCCCGGCTTCCGCGCGGAGCCATACCACTGGCCGCTGCTGGTCTTCCTGCTGCCCGCCTGCCTCTACCCCTTCGCGTCGTGCTGCGCGCACACCTTCAGCTCCATGTCGCCCCGCGCGCGCCACATCTGCTACTTCCTGGACTACGGCGCACTCAGCCTCTACAGCCTGGGTAAGCCGGGCAGGCGCGGGAGCGCTGGGTCTGGGCGTCCCGGGGCGGGGCGGGGAGAGGGTTGGGATGCGGGAGGGAGGGGCGCGCCACTCGGGCCTCAGCTGCACGCCCCCACCTCACCGCAGGCTGCGCCTTCCCCTACGCCGCCTACTCCATGCCGGCCTCCTGGTTGCACGGCCCCCTGCACCAGTTCTTTGTACCCTCCGCCGCACTCAACTCCTTCCTGTGCACCGGCCTCTCCTGCTACTCCCGGTGGGTTCCCAGGCCCCTCCAGTGGGGACGGGGAAGGCGGAGGCACAGGAGAGGACACACCTCACTGCTCTTGAACAGCATGGGTGACATCAGGACCACATACTGAGGACTTCCTGTCAGACCCTATATGCTCATACCCATGCTGTCTCCTTTAAATCTCAAGCCACCATAAAAGGCAGGTGTCTTTATCCCCACAGACAGATGTGGTCCCTTACACAGCAGGTCATGTGCCCTAAGAGTTTTCTTAGCTGCAGGCTGCGCTGATATTCCAACTTGGCCCAAGGACCCCTTGCCTTTCTCTGACCCCTACCCTGAGCACAGTGATGGTGACCAGCCTTTTCCTCCCACCTCCCAGTTTCCTGGAGCTGGAAAGCCCTGGGCTCAGTAAGGTCCTCCGCACAGCAGCCTTCACCTATCCCTTCCTGTTCGACAACCTACCTCTCTTCTATCGGGTAAGGTAGCCTAGGGCCCCTGCCCAGACTCCTGCTTTCCTGTCCTGACCCTCAAGGTGCCCACCTCCAGCCCTGCCCCCTCAGTCCCTGCCTCAGCCCAGCCACCTCTCTTCAGGCCCAGCACCCCGCCCAGCTGTGCCCACCTGCTCTGCATCCTCACCAGACCCCGACACACCCCGTATTTCTGCTCCCGAGCCCTCCCCACCAGCCTTGCTTTTCCTCTGCTAGCTCGGGCTGTGCTGGGGCAGGGGCCACAGCTGTGGGCAGGAGGCCCTGAGCACCAGCCACGGCTACCACCTCTTCTGCGCACTGCTCACTGGCTTCCTCTTCGCCTCCCACCTGCCTGAAAGGCTGGCACCAGGACGCTTTGACTACATTGGTGAGAGCAATGCCTGGCCCAGCCCGGGAAAGGGCAGGGGCTGCTGATGGCTTCCCAGAGCACAGAATGAACTGGGTAAATGGGTATCACAGCCCCAGCATGGAGGCAGATTACAGGAGGGACTTCCCTGTCTTGCTATAACAAGTGAGCATCACCGGAAGAGTCCTCAGGGTCCTCCACCTGCTACTTCTCAGGTAGCAAAACTAATAGCCTGTGTGCTGGGGGCCGCACGCACAAACGCTCATTCACTCCTGTCAGTCCCTCTGGGAATTTATAGGGGAGGAGCAGGCCCAGTGGACAGGGTGACTTGCCCTGGGAAAGGTGTGGCTCTGACCTGCCCATCATCTCCACAGGCCACAGCCACCAGCTATTCCACATCTGTGCAGTGCTGGGCACCCACTTCCAGCTGGAGGCAGTGCTGGCTGATATGGGATCTCGCAGAGCCTGGCTGGCCACACAGGAAGCCGCCCTGGGCCTGGCGGGCACAGTGGCCACGCTGCTCTTGGTGGTAGCCGGGAACGTACTCATCATTGCTGCGTTCACAGCCTCCCTGCTTCGGGCCCCTAGTACATGCCCTCTGTTGCAGGGTAGCCCACTGGAGGGGGGTACCCAGGCCAAACAACAGTGAGGCCCTGGAGGGGGCAGAGGCCAGGCCCCAGTGCTGGGGAGGAGCCCAGACCCAGGCCTC